CTGCGAAGATTGAAGAGCAGACCAGAAACTGGTGAAGAACCACTCTTCTGACCTCTTTGGTTCCAAGTCAATGTGAGCATTTGTGTGAGTGATGTACTAAGGGGATGTGGAATGATGATAACCCTGCACCCCCCACTCATGCCATGTGCTGTTACTCAGTGTAGTGCAGCCAAGTGGAACCGCTGATGAAGAGGAGAAGAATCAAACCACTTTAAATGAACCCTAACATTATATTTTTATTGCCCCAATTTGTCAGAGCCTTTGGACTCTAGGGCCCCCCCTTTTTAGTGTAAAAGGTTAAGTAAATTACTTACCTGGAATATAGTGAAAAAACAGCCTTGTCTCTGAAGCCCACTGACATCATCAGGTTTGTCCAATCCAATACTTCTCATAGCTCATAGAGAAGCATTGTGGAATTAATGTGCATGAATGGCAATTGCTGCAATGTGCCAATTTAATGCTTCTCCATGAGAAGCATCCGAGGATGTTCAACGTCCTCGTGCAATTATGTGAAAAGTCAAGAACCAAGTCTGGCTCAGTTGTGGATGTGGAAGCACCATCTAAAGCCTGTCAGGCCCTGCAATGCAAACATCTCCAAAATAGCAATGTGCGAGAGCAAAATGCCAGGGCTACTGCAGAAAGACCACTTCATGTCCTTTCAGAAATAATGTAAATGGCAAAAGTTGGTCTTGGACCCTCCACTTAAAGTCATACTCTAAGCACCAAAATAACTTTATCTTAATGAAGCGGTTTTGGTGTATAGATCATATCCCTGTAGTCTCACTGCTCAATTCCCTGCCATTTAGGAGTTAATTCACTTTACACATGCAGGGGAGGTGTGAATAAACAAAGTAATTCAATTCCTAGATTGCAGACAATTGAGAACCAAACAACCAAAGTCGTTTTGGTGCTTATAGTGTCCGTTTAAATATTTGTAGCTTTGAGTTATGAGAACACAAAACCCTCAATTTATTTAAGCATTCATAGTTTTGGCTGAGTTATTAGGAGACATAACGCTCTTTATTTAAATAGTCATAGCCTTGGCAAAAACTTACCAGAAGACAGATAACAAAGACTAATACCAGGCTAACATTTTTCGCACTTAAAAAGGACTTTTCTCACATTATTTCATGATTTTAAATGTTTTAAAACTCTCTTGAAAATCTTGAAAACTAAAAACACGTCACATTGTACAAACAGCACATAAGGCTATCAAGGCAATGTTTAAGCCCCGACTGGCGAAGGAGACAGCAGAATTTGGTCTAATGACCCGGTTGGCCAAGGCTCCAGATCTCAGCACAATAGAAATTGCAGGGTCTGACGATTGGAAAACAAACGTTCTTGCACAGTGCTGAGGTGTGTTTAAAATCATTGTCTTGATGTTGAGAGAAAGACTGCCTAGCTAGACGCAATCCCGATGGGAATAGCATGCAGGTCTGCAATGGCAGCTGGTTGAGCTTGGCCTAGACTTGGTGAAGACCACCATCATCGTCACCAGAACGGCAGCTTCGTACCATGGCACTGCCAAGACAATGTATACAAATCTTGGACTAATACTGCATGTTACAGACTAAATTGCATCATACACGGCTGTTTTAAAATGTAATTATGTTTGTACTAGTTGTTGGGTACATTTTGCATGTATGCTGTTAATAAATTCAAGGGCTTTACAGTGTAAGTGTATATATGTGGCTATGAAAAACTCAGCCCTAGACCACGCTGGGCGACCAACTGAGCCAAACTTTGTTATCTTGACATTAGAGGTATATTATTCACAGACCTTCCACAGGTTCTAAATCAGGGCTGTCACAAAGGTAGATCCCCAAATGTTGTAAAACTATAGTTCCCACGATGCTTTGCATGCCTTTAGAATTTCTATCAGCCACTTGCCATTGATGAATGAAAATGAAAATTTACCCAAAGTATTAGAAAATTCTCCCCTGTTGAGTACGCATTGTCCTGAAGTGGCAAATAACTTTTAGGGCCTGGATAATAGCATACAACTTAAAATCATAAGATGCTGTCAGATTGTTACATATGTGATCAATATTCACACGCAACATATTTAACATGCTCCAGAAACAGAAACGCCGTACATGTCCCTTTATCCGTAGTGGGTTAATAACATTAACACAGAGAAACAAATAGAAGCATTCTGCAGCACCACCTGCTGGCAGAAAGGTGTAGTGCACAATCTCATGTTTGCTTCGAAGGACCTGTAAAATAAATCAGTAGAACATTTTCTACCAAAAATTACTTTGTGCAATAAAAAAAAATAAAACACTATTGTCAAGTTCACTTAACAGCAGCAGATTTCTTCCACCGTATGCGTAGTTTTGCCACACAACTCAAATTAAAAAGTGGTGGCTCGAAAAACCTTATATACCTTTATAGGTCATTAAACGCCTTCCTCAGTAATGTCTGTACTATTCTCTTGATTAATAAATAAAAATCAGATTATTATTTTTTTTAGTTTAAATCAAATTTTTGTAATTTAAAAAAAAAAAACTATTTAGTAGATATACCTCCAAAATGAACATGCATATACTTTTTTTCTGCATGTGTTCTTTGGGGTAATAAAAAGAAAAAAAAGGTTACTAAAGCTGCAGAGCTGCCATCTGCAGCCTTTGTAAGCCCTCCCCTCTCGGATTGTTGAGGTTAATGTGATAGGGTGAGTGTGGTAGAGCGAGGGCACTTGAAGTATCAGTGTTGCAATGGTAACCCGCAGAAAATCTCTGATTGGACAGAACTCACAAGGCAACTACTTCATGGTCTGCAACTCTGCACCCAGCAGCGGTCCAGATCAGAGGCTGCTGGGGTCTCTCTCCCCCTGGGCAGATTGAATGGAGGGGCCCCAAACCCAACGGCACACAAGACAAGCTGACATGCCCTCTCCCGGTGTTGTGTCCTCGGTCACGGACCAAGGGCTGACAGATAAGTTTGCCCTGAGGTGAATTAGAGACACCACAGTCAAACTCGCCAAATTAGAGAGCCCCCTCAGCCAAGGGGATATGAGCCTTGTAAGAGGGATGTGGGGAGGAGTAAAACCATTGTTGTATGGACCGGTTATAAATAGAGGTTTGCAGCAAATATTGGGAAGTGTATAATAATAATAATAGAATGGAGCTAAAAAAACAGAGAGTATTTTCAAGGAATTGTTTTTACATTTAAAATAAAACCATGTATTGGTCCAGTTTGTTTATATTTTCATTTTTGAAAAAATAATTCCTGGCTACTATGTTAATGACCAACTACACTATTCATTGTGTAAGAAATTCTACAATTTTACAAATTCAATGCCATAAAATAACACTCCTGGTACACAATAAATACAAATGACATTGTGGTGTGTAGTCTGAAACAGACTTACATTGGCCAATACTGCTCTCTAGTGGACACACATAGGAAATTCACCTTTTAAAATAAAAAAATTATTTGTGTTTTTTAATAAGATAAAATTCACAATACAATAGGCAAGTAGATTGCTCAGATACAAAGTAGTGAGACAAATTATGATAACATTAATAAGAAGTTAAAATTCACCTATTTTAAACACAATTATTACTATACTTTTTATATTCATGGTTAACCCATTAAGGTCAGAGGCAATTGTACAAGCTCTGACCAAAACAAATGATAGAATTTGAGCTATATGTTTGTTCAGCCATAGTTTACCTCTTTCATATAAAGTGCACTTATACTAATAATATAATATAATATAACATATCATTTTGTTCAGGAGAAATATGGCTTTCAGTTCACATCAAATATTATATGGAACACAATTTAATCTGAATAAAACCTTAAAAAATGTGACAAATTAAGAAAATGTGTTTTTTTCAAAGTTCTGCCTGGAATTTTGACTATGTATGGCCGAATACTGTTAGCTTTGACTGTAATAAACGACACATATTTGTATGCTGTGATGTCTAACGAGTACAACAGTACCCCATAGACCTCAATGCTGTACTCTATCGCCAGGAACTGTAATCTCACCCTTACCTGCCCTCCGCTGCCACCGGACCACCAGTGGTGATGTCACAGTCCATGGACCTTGCAAATTCGTCAAAGTCTCCCCACTGTGACAGTGTCACTTTAAGACTGAAGTCATACATACAATAGCCTCTTTCTGCTTTTTTGCGTATTCGTCTTACTATCTATTTCCACCTAGCCTATACCTTCCTTATATCCTGCCATTAAAGGACCACTAGAGTGCCAGGAAAACATACTAGTTTTTCTGGCACTATAGTGCCCTGAGGGTGCCCCCACCCTCAGGGCCCCCTTCCCGCCGGGCTATAGGGTGAGGAAGGGGTTAAATTTACCTCTTAGTTGAGCGCCGGGTGGGGGACTCTCCTCCTCCTCTCCTCCTCTTCGGCTGAATGCGCATGCGCGGCAAGAGCCGCGTGCGCATTCAGCCAGTCCATAGGAAAGCATTCACAATGCTTTCCTATGGACGCTGGTCTTCTCACTGTGAAAATCACAGTGAGAAGCGCGGAAGCCCTCTAGCGGCTGTCAATGAGACAGCCACTAGAGGCTGGATTAACCCTATTATAAACATATATGTTTATAGAAAAAAGGGTTAAACCAAGCTGGACCTGGCACCCACACCACCTCATTAACCTAAAGTGGTCTGGGTGCCTATAGTGGTCCTTTAATAAATTCAAGAAATTGTATCCTTGGAGTAGTGCGCATGTCGTGTGATGGATTTAATTTTAATGCTATTGATTCACTTGCTTCACGTATTTTCTATTTTTCCTATCTTTCCCACTTGTGTTTGGACATGGCACTTTGGCACTATATATATATATATATATGTATATATATAAAAAAAATTATATATATAGTGCCTATATATATATATATAAAATTTGATTCTAAAAGTATATTTACTTATTATTTATGTATGATTGCATTCTTTTATTAGTTATAGTTATTTGTTGGGAGATCTGTCTGACAACCCAGGCAGTGCCCCTGCAGACAATCTGTCAATCACTCCGATCCGAGTCATGCGATTGCAGGATCATCGAGATCACATGACTCAGATTGGCGGAATTGGCTGAAGGGGGACAGGCCTTGGTTGTCAGGCAGTCACCCAGATCAGATCCCGCGAGGAGGGTAAGTATAGAGGTTGCCTGATCATTAGTACGTGCTATGCTGCGATAACGGCATTAAAGCCTCCTTTTCAAGGACAGCATAGCACGCCCGAACGTCGGGAAGGAGTTAAAGTCACACTCTAGGCACCATAACCACTTAACCTCATAATATACCGTATCCTTCGTCCCCCTCCTTCTTTGCAGACCTACCTACTCCTCCACACTCTTTGCACTCCACCTATATGCCCATTCCTCTTTCTTCCTTCCTTTCCTTCATGACGCAGCCTGAGATTAGGTGGCAGTGGTGCATACCTCCCAACATTTCAAATGGGCGATGATGGACACTTTAATTTTAAGGGTGTGAGTGCATGTGTTGCCAGGTGGCTTACTAATAACAATGTATACAACTAAAATGTACTTTAGCACAAGAACAATTGAACTAATTACTAAACACATTTATTGTAGCTTAAAGACACAATACTGAGAGTATTATTGCTGTGGAGCTCTGTTATACACTCAGACGCACCAACAATACGGAGCTCCTAGAAAAGAGGGACATTAGAACATAGGGATTTGAGCCCGGAATAAGGACTGTCCCTCCTAACAGCGACACTAGTGTTCAATTTATATATAGAATGGGTGCTCATTTCTTCATGACTTGAGCCTTCTGCTCCCAGCCCAAAAAATTCGCTCTCATGCCTTTCAACATCAGCAGTCTCAGAATCGAGACATCGGTGGAAGGGGGTAACTTCACCATGTCGGCAATTTTTTATTCCAATCAGTCAAGCGTCTTCATGCAGAGAATTTTCCTCATAGAGATGCATTGATTCAATGCATCTCTACGAGCAGGTGCTGATTGGCCAAAACAGTCTTTTGGGGCATACGTTGTTTTGTATTTTTTTATTTTTTGGGGCATACGTTGTCTTACATACATAGCTGAATTACTTAAGTGTTGCATACTATAGTCCTGTTTTGTGTTTTGCATACTTTCTGTTTTACATGCAATTGTATAGTCTCTGTTAACTTACCATTTAAATAAACACTGCAGTGGGAGGGTATCTGTTAACGGCTGATTCTATGTTAAATGAACATTTGCAAAGCTAAACTGATTCTCACACTTCCGGTCACCACGGTATTATTGTAATAATTAGCATAAGCTCTTCTCATTGTTGCCGTTTTCCGGGAAGACCCTGGTAACTATTGATGGAGGTTAGATCAGCGACAACTATTATCAACTGACACCAGTCTGCGCTGAAACAAAATTAATTAAAGTAATAAATAAAAGCCTTTATATAAGAGATATGAATAATAAATGGATTAAAACATGAGTAGTAAATACACATAAATATATGTGTGTGTTAATGTGTGTAGACATAAATATATATATATATATATATATATATATATATATATATAAAAAGAAAAAAAGAAGATGTTTAGCATACAGGCACTAAATGTTGATTGATTTACAAATCAAGTGAGAAGAGACCAACAGGAAATTTGGAATATGGGATTTCAGAGAAAAACGGTTTTGGCGAACCATAATGGCATTACATTTTTTTATGTATATATTTTGCAGTAAACTGATTTTCCCGCCATTTGGCTCACTGGAATTGTTTTAATGGAACGATGAAATTCCATATTACAAATTAAAGGGACACTATAGGCATCATAAGGCACCATAACAACTTCATCTAAATTAATACTAAATTAAGTTGTTACGTGCCAGGAAGCCCATGAGCACATTTTTACCTTTAGGGGTTAAACCATTTTTGGACAGTTTAACCCCGAAGTTGCCTGAAGCACTGATCTCAGCTCTCCCCCTTGCAGCGTCTGGCTTCTGAAATTTCAGGAAGGGCGGAGTGTCGCCGGAAAGTGGTCACAAAACTGGCTTGTAAAAGGTACATTTCTTTCCAAGCCAGTTTTATAAGTGGGGAGTCACTAAGAGGCTGTTCGAAAAACAACTTTAACAACTTAATTTAGACAAAGTTGTTTTGGTGCCTGGAGTGTTTATGCAACATGTAGCTCAGTTAGGTTGTATTATCTAGCCTCCAAACTGTTCCAATTTGGGAGGCACAGTCCCTATTTCCCTATTTTAGGGACTTGTTCCACTTTCCTGATTTAGGCACCTGGTGTCCTGCATCCAAGCTTCACGGCAGGTCGACAAGCCCCTTCAATGGTTGCATCATTGGCAATGACCCCAGTGCCCATCCACTTGCTTCCCGGTTCCATACCTCGCACGTTGGGAGGTATGTACTACTTGTACAGATAAGGATACATGTGAATATACAGCAAAAACTGTATATTATGGGAAAATAATTCAGTTAAGGGGTTCCAGGTTCATTATAATAAAACATAAGTTTAACCCCTTAAGGACACCTGACATGTGTGACATGTCATAATTCCCTTTTATTCCAGAAGTTTGGTCCTTAAGGGGTTAAAGGTCATGACGTTTGTAAATGTCCCAAAAACAGCAAGATGGGGCTTTTTTTCACATACTACACACAAGGCTGGCCTAGGCCTTCATGCACCTTATGCAAAAACTTAAAAGTTCATCACTACTTTTGTCCTGTGTATCCTCCATGCCCATAAATGTCTATTTGTTGTGCCCATCCCCATGTCTACACTTGTTTATACCCCTCACTATGCCACCTTGTGTATAACACCCCATGTCCCTTGTGTGTACCCATCTCCCTTCCCACCATAGTGTGTGCCCCTCTCTATGCCCCCTCCTCGTGCATGAAAAATGAGATTTAGGATTTATGGTTACCCCTGGTGCTGTTTGTTTTATTTTTATTTTTTAAACTCTGGGTAGCATTACGTCATACATGTCTGTCGCAATAACATGTAGATCATTGTACAGCTGCGTATACTATTGATCAGTGAGTATTGGTGAATAGATGATTGAATACGTATAGACACTACATTATAATGCAAGTTGCTAATTGTTCCCAATGTGTTAATTAAAGACACCCAGCTGAGCTGCCTATTGTCCCTTTACATAGCTCCTCTCTGCAATCATGCTGTTTCAGCCCTGCCAGTCCCCTCCCCTACAACCTGTTCCTAAATACTGACCTCAAACACACAACATTGCATTGTGTCTCTACAACACCATCAAGAACCAAGCTATTTGTGGGTAAGTGACTTAAATGTTGCTAAGAGGATTTGGCATTGAATTTTCTAACTTAAATTTTTGAAAGATACTTAATGGTTGTGTAAAATAAGTGGCTGAGAGGATTGGGACCACAATTTGCAGAGTAAACCGCGTTCTGTGTTCATGTGGGGGACACCTTCGTACCCTGTGCCAAGTTCTGGAACTTTAATGGATCCTAAATCAAGTCTGGGTTCAAGTTTGCGTACACCTAAATCTCTGCCCTATGTGCTGCCGTGGAAAATTAGTTCCAGTAAGGACTAATCTATTGAAGAAATCCTACTTTTACAGACTTGTAAGAGAAGATTGCCCTTCCAAGTGCCTGTGCGTTGATATTGTTGGTGTTTGTTTTGAATTTGCAAGTTAAACTCTGCTTCAAGAAAGCTTTATCTAGGACATTTCTACACCATGTTAGGAGGAAAGGGTTTGCAGTTATAGTATTTATGTTGGCGTGTCCCAACTGTTAGCTGGAGTCACAAGCCAAACTGACATTTCTAGCAATGTGCCACGGGCTACTTTTGTTGGGCACCCTTTCCCATAGTAACGGTCCTGAGGTATTTTTGTTTTTCCGCACATGTTTAAATACTGCTGCTGGTCTCAGAGATGGACCTGGTTGAGAAGCACCAATCAGATGTCTATATCTGAGGACTTGTGATGTGACCTTACACAGCCATCACGGATTACCCACTGAAAGCTCTCAGTCCAGCATATAAAGGTTACTGCATTGGACGTCTTGTGTTTACAACGTTGGAATAGCAAACACTATGCTAAAATTGATTTTATACCATAGTAATATTTTATGTAGTCGCTTATTAAGATACGCTTACACCTTCATTTTGGCTTAAATATTGGTAACTGCATAACCCTTTGTCTCACAAAGTTTATTCTAGTCAGTATATCAGTTGGCTATGATACCTTTGTTAATAAACAAGAGACAACTGAATGGATTGTGGATTATTTCAGTTTTACAGTGTGAACTGTAGCTGCATTTATTTTATCTGATAATACAACATGTATCACAATGAAAGTGGTTTACATTGCAATCGCACTTAATACCAAGTTATATTCTCTATTGGAGACATGTTATAAAAGCAATAAAGCTACTGATTTGCCATTTAAAAAAAAAATGTTTAAATATACATTTTCTTAGCAAAAAAATGTTTATTTTATAGTTTTTTTGTGTGTTTTTTTTTATATATATAAGTGTGACCTGTAGTTATAATATATCACAGCCACGTTTGTTCTCTTGCAAAAATGAAATCGCTAGATTAATAAATCTAAAATGTGTTTTTCTCCAGAACAAGGAACGTACATAATGTCAACTCATGGGGTTGTTGTTCGAGTCCCGTCATATCTACTGGGAATTTCTCCCCATATAATACCTAGAGTGAGGGTCCAGCCCTCCACATACCCAAAACCAACAAAGGCAAAGGATGAAGTCAAACAAAAGGCATTATCTGAAATACACAGGTATCCTTCCAATTATCAAAGAGGCTTCCATAGAGGACCCATGCTTTTAGTTACAAAGGGCATGTCCCCACACGGGTGGCACTGGCAACCTCCTCTAGTACCCGACCATTTATTTTACAACGAATGGGATTTTGATGGCAGCTTTAGATTCAAGCAACGTACAGTTCCTTTCATTTAGTCCAGAGCTATTGTACAGGTAAGACATTTTTATTTTTTTCTATCCACATTTTTTATTTATTGGGTTAGGACGGAACGCCCATGGTTCCAGAATTTGGAGACTGGTTGGTTCTAATAAGGAGATTGATAAAGCTCAGGAAACCATTGCTCCTGACCAAACTGTAATATGACTTGTTTAAAAGTATCATTCATCCTAGATTTCAAACCCACAACGCTTGTGTGAGTGTGTGGGGGAGGGTGTCCACTTAGTAATTAGTGCTCTATTATTTTGGTTCTGTTGTCAATTCCCCACAATTCCATGTTTAGTGAATACATTTTACTTTGAGGGATTAGCTGGCTAATACTCCTCCCGTAATATCTCTCAGCCAGAAATCAGAGGCGATGATTGCGGTTTATAGCAAAAATTGTATCATTTATTATTTTAAAACAGCCTGTGTCTATTATACTACTATATATTTTATTTATCTTTTCTATAGCGGTCCTTTTGCACTTACACCCTCTCTCCTTTAATATGTATGTATTGTGCGCTTTCTTTATTATTTTTTAATGCCAATATATAAGTTCTGGTTGGGTGCCCAATTTGTGGCAACTTTCCCAAGTAGCGCCAATTCATTATCGGTGCAATGCAGGCAAGGGCAGGGATGGGTAAGAGATGATGTAACACCCACAGACCCTGTAAAGTGGAGGTGAAAGCACTGGAGAGTAGGTAAATAGTTAGTTAAAGGAACACTCCAAGTACCATAATCACTGCAGCACACATAAGTGATTATGTTACGATGAGTGCCCTGACACCCACCCTCATGTAAAGCACTTCTTGAGTGGCTAGAGGATTATAGGAATGGAGTGACTGATGTATGCATCCCTTGCACACACACACAAACACATAGTGAATCTCTTACACACATACAGAGAAATACACAATGCATCCCTTACACACTACACACATAAACACGCATTGCATTGCTTACACAAATACATGTATTCCTTACACACAAACATATTGCATCCATCTGGATTCCCAATACATTTCATTCCAGAAAACACACACACATTACATCCTCTACACCAATAATGGCTAACCTTGACACCATAAATTGTTCCTGGACTACATTTCCCATGATGCTCAGCTAGCTTTTAGACTATGAAAGCTAGCTGAGCATCATGGGAAATGCAGTCCAGAAACTATTTATGGTGTCAAGGTTAGCATTCCCTGCCCTACAAACATACACTCCACTCCCTGTGAGCGGACTCAGATGTGGGCACTGTGGGTGAAATCAGGGGCAGGCCACAAAATTTCTGATGGCAGCCCTGCCTGCGGATATAACAGAAGTGGACCAAAGGTAAGGATTTACTAAAACTCAAAAATTTTAACTGAATATATCATTTATCGGGATGATAAATTCTATATTAAATATTAAGTATCAATGCAAAAATGAAATTGCTCTCCTTACCACTGACTTAAATCTAGATTAATAAATCTAAAATTTGTTTTTCTCCAGAACAAGGAACGTCCATAATGTCAACTCATGGGGTCGTTGTTCGAGTCCCGTCATATCTACTGGGAATTTCTCCCCATATAATACCTAGAGTGAGGGTCCAGCCCTCCACATACCCAAAACCAACAAAGGCAAAGGATGAAGTCAAACAAAAGGCATTATCTGAAATACACAGGTATCCTTCCAGTTATCAAAGAGGCTTCCATAGAGGACCCATGCTTTTAGTTACAAAGGGCATGTCCCCACACGGGTGGCACTGTCAACCTCCTCTAGTTCATTTAAGTTGAACCTTAAGTATCTAAATTCTGCCTCTCCAGGTTCAGTGAATACACGTTTATTAGCACGTGTAACTAGCTGTAAAATTCCATAACTCTAATTTTTCCAAACTTTCTGCAACTCATCCATATTGGATCACACATGGATTCTGAAACAAAGTGAAAAAAAAAACAACTACTTCTCACAGACGAATTGGATATTACAGAGATAAACGGAAATCCATTCACTTTTAATCACAAAGAAAACATGAATTAGCTTCAAAGCAGAGCAAGGCCCTGTATATAATAACCTGCGGAAGCTAGTAATATGCTCAATGACACTTAGCACTAAAGAAGACTCAGGAGAAAGCAGACTGTCAACTGAATCACATCTACTTTGTTCAATAAGAACTTTTGTTGGGGAATAACGCAGGTGGCATCCATTGACACCTATCATAGACTCCTAGGAAGCAAAGTTTTATATTTCACTCTAAATCTTTATATGTGCAGTTGTTCTAATTTCTCATATTTTCGCATTTGATGTTGGAGTATATTAATCCAATAAAATTAATTATTTCATGTTCTATCACATGTTTTTGTGAATACACCATCACAGCAACTCTTCGTATTTGTAGACAGAAATTTTTACTGGGTGTATTACACTATTGCAACATAGGACGTGGAAATTAGTTTAAAGGACCACTCTAGGTACCCAGACCACTTCAGCTTAATGAAGTGGTCCTTTGTGCCAGGTCCAGCTAGGGTTAACCCATTTTTTTAATAAACATAGCAGTTTCAGAGAAACTGCTATGTTTATAATAGGGTTAATCCAGCCTCTAAAGCCTCTAGTGGCTGTCTCATTGACAGCCGCTAGAGGCGTTTGCGTGCTTCTCACTGAAAATCACAGTGAGAAGACGAAAGCGTCCATAGGAAAGCATTACCAGTGCTTTCCTATGAGACTGGCTGAATGCGCGCGCAGCTCCTGCCGCGCATGCGCATTCAGCCGAAGAGGAGGAGAGGAGGTGGAGAGGAGGAGGAGAGCTCCCTGCCCGGCGCTGGAGAAAGGTAAGATTTTAACCCTTTCCTCTCCCCAGAGCCCGACAGGAGGGGGTCCCTGAGGGTGGGGGCACCCTCAGGGCACTATAGTGCCAGGAAAACGAGTATGTTTTCCTGGCACTATAGTGGTCCTTTAACAAGTCACACGTCATTGCCTGTTGATGCAGCCGGTATCTCCTTGCCTCTGGGTTGTCTGATCTGAGTTGCTTCCTTTTTATTGCAGTAAGTTCTTAAAAGGACAATTGCCATCAAATTTACACGTCTTCTCTTGATCAGTCGTGATAGGTCAGATTCTACTGTTATCTGACCAACTGCTGCTCAGCCTAGCTTGTCTGCTGCCGCAGGAGCTCACAAAGCAATCAGAGCACCAGGCAAGCTAGGTCGAGCAGCAGTTGATTAGGTCACTGTAGACTTTGACCCAACACAGCTGATCAGCCAATTACAGAAATAACATTTAATTTTTCTCGGACAAAATCAATAACATTGATTCCATTGAAACATAATAAACTTACAAAAATCCACACTAAAGTAGCTAAGCTGTTAGAGAGCCGGATAATTTTTCTAAATTAGTCATTTCATTTATTTTTACTTTTTAATCAATCATTATTTTGAACATTAAAGGGTGTGTGCCAACAAGTTGAACACAAACCGCAAAAAATGCAAAAATAGCTTGTTTCCTTAAGGGTATGTCCAGCTTCTGAAGCTGCGTCCTTAAGGGGTTAAAGGGTGTGTGCCAACAGGTTAAAAACCAAAAGAGTAAGTACAAGTAAAAATTGGAATATCATGAGGTGGCCCCAATTTAAAGGATTTATAAAGAAAATCATGGGCTAAAGAGAACACATCATATTTTATCAGTAGGATGACATCCAAATTTGTGGCGTTACTGGTAATCAGACCAGACCAGCGGTATCTCCATAGTGGAGAGGACAAGTGTAAATGAATGGGGGAGGAGACAAACATAGGTAATATAAAACTTCTCGATATCAAGGTAGATTAAATATTGAATAAATGCATTCCTACGGGGATTTACAAGATGTTGGGCGTCCATGTGCAAAGTGTTTGGAAGTGCCTCCAGTGGTTGTCTGGTAGACGGCTACTAGAGTCTATCTTAACCATGCAATGTAAACATTTCAGAGTCTCTAAGACCGCATGTTTTACCATGCAAGTATAAGAGTACAGGGACACTGCATCCGGACCACTTCAATGAGATTAAGTGGTCTGAGTGCCTATAGTTTCCCTTGAACTGTTTAAAGTGGATATGGTTAAGGGTGTTGTGGGTGCCGGGGTCCTGCATCCCTGCTAAACAGCTTACACATTCCTTAGCAAAGAGACTCAGTCCCAAGCAGTCAACTCAAAATGACAAAATGGAAACTATGCTCCACTTCATACCATACCAAGGGTAGTGGGCAGTGAGAGACTGAGAGCTTTCGCTGAGTTCTTTCAGCCAATTATTGCCAAAATCCCTGGTATAAATTAGTATGGCTCTCCCACCGCCATATTGTATTTGAAAGCCATGCTGCTGGCTGCTGGGGACAGAGGATCCCTGCTAAATGGTGAGTAAATGGTTTAAAGGACCACTATAGTGCCAGGAAAACATACTCGTTTTCCTGGCACAATAGTGCCCTGAGGGTGCCCCCACCCTCAGGGTCCCCCTCCCGCCGGGCTTTGGGGAGAGGAAAGGGTTAAATCTTACCTTTTTTCCAGCGCCGGGCGGGGAGCTCTCCTCCTCCTCTCCACCTCCGATCCTCCTCTTCGGCTGAATGCGCATGTGCGGCAGGAGCTGCGCGTGCATTCAGCCAGTCTCATAGGAAAGCATTTACAATGCTTTCCTATGGACGCTGGGGTCTTCTCACTGTGATTTTCACAGTGAGAAGCACGCAAATGCCTCTAGCAGCTGTCAATGAGACAGCCACTAGAGGCTTTAGAGGCTGGATTAACCCTAATATAAACATAGCAGTTTCTCTGAAATTGCTATGTTTATAGAAGAAAGGGTTAATCCTAGAGGGACCTGGCACCCAGACCACTTCATTAAGCTGAAGTGGTCTGGGTGCCTAGAGTGGTCCTTTAACAGTGATGTGGTATCTGGGGCCCACAGACTCCAGGCACTAGAACATTTGAACACTGAAATGTTATGGTGCCTACAGTGTTCATCACTGGACTTATAAATGTAAAGGCTTGGCCTGCAGTTGTGAGAGGGGCTTGTTACCCTATTTAAACCCCCCTACTCACCTTCCTCCTTCCCGTACTTTTTTCTTAGCGACTCGCATGTCGCTATGTCCGGTCGCCATCTGCTCCCCTCGTGTTTTCTTCTTACCTGGCCTGACGGTTTTTCCCTCGCCGTTTTTTTTTTTTTCTGGATGGCTGTTTAACATATTGCTCCTTACATACAGAGCCTCCAATGTTATGCTTATTGTGATTGTGTACAAATGTTAGTGGGCGCTTAGCTGCACAGCAGAGCCTGTATCTCACTCTATTTGCTGTATAGTCAAGGTCAGTTCAATGACCGCTCGCTTGTTTCTCCGCCATTGACTTGCACTCTCTTAAACGGTTGTCTACGTAATGCCTCCCAACACTTATTATCTGTCGCCCTGAATCCAGACTTTGCAAGAGGAATGTAATAATAAATTTAACTCAGATGGATAATTTATCCCATTATAGTTTCCTTTTCTTGCTGCGTCGGTACGCGATCTTACGCTTCTTAGTTGCTGTTCACGTGCGGTTTCAGTCCCGTCGCAAGCGTCTGTCCCGCGTTTTGGTTTCGGGTTTTCGTTTTCCCTGTTTGGCTGACCCACGCCTGCCCGCCATACTTGGGCTGCGTTATTTTCCAGACGGATCTTTATGTTTTGCTACCAAGCGCGCGTTCTGGCCTTTTTATGAGTGGGTTTTACACGTGTAGGCACATTTATTTATTTATTTGCTTGCGTACCCCATACAGCCTGACCAACTGGACTCCGACGGGCTCACTCTGCCCTCCAGTTACGGTCAGCCCTACGATTCTTCCTCCTCCCCCGCCCCCTCTTTCTTTTCACTCACGGTGCATCCCCTACCTCACTCGTTACCCTCCCCTCTTAGTTAGCTGTTGCTGGCTGTTCAGGGTCCTAGGTGTCCACTAGTTGTAATTCCCCCTGGCTTCTTCGCCTTAGGTTAGTGGTCCCGCGAGGCCAACACCCATCCTCATACTCGGAGGTACTACGCCCCTCGGGCCAAATCGTAGTTAGTCGCCTCGCATTGTGGCATAGGGAGGGCCTCACCTGTCACTCCCATTCTATCTTATGTTTAGCTGTCACCGAGAGGCCGACACCCCGCCACAACGTTTCGGTGGCCACGTTATCCACTCGCGCCAATGCATAGATAGAGCCTCTCACGCCGCTTGGCATCTAGCAGGGCCTCACCTGTCACCAGACCTAGTTTTTAATTGTTTCGCCTTTTGGCTTAGCTAGTATGCCAGCACTCCCACGCACGATCACACACACACTCACACTCGCACTGGGTCTCGTGACCCAGTGGGGTTTTCTTCAACCCTGTTTTTGTTACCTTCAACCCAGGCTCGCTCCTTTCAGCCGTCCGCCTGGACACTGACGTGCTTGCTCTGCTTTCGGTTACGGTCGGCTCTGCGGTGTTTCCTCATCCACACTCACATCTTCGATACACATTCAGCAAATCTATCCTCTCACATTACCTTCCCTCCCCTCTTAGTTAGCTGTGGCTGGCTGTCAGGGTCCTAGGTGTCCACTAGTTGGTAATTCCCCCCCCCGGCTTCTTCGCCTTAGGTTAGTGGTCCCGCGAGGCCAACACCCATCCTCATACTCTGAGGTACTACGCCCTCGGGCCAAATCATAGTTAGTCGCCTCGCATTGTGGCATAGGGAGGGCCTCACCTGTCACTCCCATTCTATCTTATCTTTAGCCGTCACCGAGAGGCCGACACCCCGCCACAACGTATAGTGGCCACGTTATCCCCACGCGCCAACTCATAGATAGAGCCACTCTCGCCGCTTGGCATCTAGCAGGTCCTCACCTGTCACCAAACCTAGTTTTTTAATTGCTTCGCCTTTTGGCATTAGCTAGTATGCCAGCACGCACACTCACACACACATTGGGTCGCTTATGCGCTGTTTTATTCGTCTCTTTTTATAGCAGGTCTCCGCTGCTTAGCGATTAGCATGGTTTTTCTCCGCCTGAGCTCTCTGGCTAGGTCTGATACTCATCGCGCTCAGGAGTTTCGGTTACTCCTACTCTCCCGTAGCCGCTGCCGTTCCCTGCGTTTTAGGGCCCAACCACAGGCTGCCAGCCTTGCAAGCTCATGGTCGTCATCTTTTCACATCTGGCTCTTTTCCACACTCGCGGTACGTATGTTAGGGCCTTCTTCCCCTTTGAGGCTCCTTTTTCGCGTATACTGATACTGTATCTGTTGCTGTGTTGTTTGCGTTTTGGTTTTGATTCCTTTTGCCACCTCTAACTTGCATCAACTCTACCTATCCGGTTTACAACTCCACATGTTGTACAGGTTTACCATTCATACGCAGTTTTCATATCCTCATACCATACTCAAGGCGTTTCGGGTTCTGGGAAATTTCTAATTTACAGTCTTCACATTAACATCCAAGTATCTCAACCACTATCAGACCTATTAAAGGCCTGACACTACGTACCGGGCATCAACTTTCAATGTAGGGCTATAACTGCTTGATCCAAGGAAATCTGACCGCCATTATGGGGTCAAGAAGGAATTTTTCCCCAGCTTGTGGCAAATTGGCAGCGCTTCAAACTGGGTTTTTCGCCTTCTTTTGGATCAACCGTTTTTGTACTTGGTGGGAACTAGTCACTTAAACTACGTAATCTAGTTGTTGAGCCGCTATACCTGCTTCCACAGTTTCTTGGGTATCACATTCATTCCCACAGCCACCATGTCCTTCTTGTAGCATTATCTCAGGAAGTCTCACCTATTAATGCAGTCTATTGTTTACCTTCTCTACCCCCACACTTAGTCTACCTTAGAGGGCCAACATGTTTACCATACCTTACTTCCCCTTGCATGATTAAAAGTGCCGGTTAAAGCGCTGGGCAACTATTTACTTGCTCGGCATTTACCATATAGCTAGGCAATTAGGTTTTGTTGATTGTTTTTCTGACAGGTATCCAATTTTTGCCCTCTTTTATTACAGGCCTACCACGACGTCGGTTCCGGCACACCTCAACCGACTCATTTTCCCTTTAATTCCTATATGGCCTTATTTGCCCCTCACACAAATGTAAAGGCTTGGCCTGCAGTTGTGGGAGGGGCTTGTTACCCTATTTAAACCCCCCTACTCACCTTCCTCCTTCCCGTACTTTTTTCTTAGCGACTCGCATGTCCCCACCCTCCACTCCCTCTACCTATCCTTTCATTACACCTCAT